TAGGATCTTTAGGGAAGACTTATTACATGGTTCCAAGACAAAGCACGCATAATCCAAATGACTACGAATAAGGGCGTTGTACAATATTTTTTGAGATAATGGATGGGAGCCCCACCAAACTCCCGATAAAGCGCGAAGAATATTTATATTTTTTTCACATTTTTTGAGACATAGTTGATATGATGAGAAAAGGTTAGTTTGGAGTCAAGAATAACTCCCAAAAATTTTACATTCTCCCTAATAGGGATAGGTCCATTATTAAAGAGAATGTCGATTTCAGGGAGTTGCCTATGGCGAGAGAAGATGACAACATTGCTTTTGGGAACAGACAAGGACAAACGATGATCAGTTAACCAATCTTGTAAATAGGACATTGATAAATTCAAGCGGGAACATGCTGTAGCAAGGTTATCCAAGGAAATATATATAGCTATATTGTCTGCATATTGGAGGATGTTACAGAATGAGTTAACAGAAAGTTCTAGATCATAAGTATAGATAGAATAGAGCAAAGGACTAAGTACTGAGCCTTGTGGGAGACCCTTCCATAAAATTCTTGGCGGGATAGAGAATTTTGACTATCAATATAAATGGATCTAGAAGAGAGAAAGTTAGAGACAAAATTTACTATCCTCACTGGAATACTCAGATTAAGCAATTTTTGCCTGAGCACAGGAAGAAGTACATTATCATATGCAGACGAGATATCTAGAAAGACACCAACAAGGTATTCATGTTTAGAGTAAGCTATACGAATATCAGTAACTAGAGTACTAAGGCTATCCATGGTGCTTAAGCCCTTTCGGAATCCAAATTGGCTTTTTGCTAGAAGGTTTTTGCTTTCAAGAAACCATTCTAGACGATTTTTTATTAGGTGTTCAAGAATTTTGGCCATGGTACAAGAAAGAGCAATAGGGCGGTAGCTTGAGGGATGAGTGTGAGGCTTACCTGTTTTGTAAATAGGTAAAATAACTTGGGATTTCCATTCTTCAGGAGGAATACCGGACATGTAAATACAATTTAAAATAGAAAGAAGATGGGCTTTAGTAGATTCACTGCTATTAGTAATAAAAGAATAAGGAATTCCATCAATTCCTGGTAAAGAGTCTTTAAGGACACTAAGAACAGCATATAACTCCTCATAAGAGAAAGGGGAGTCAAAACTGTGTTGATAGTGCAAGGGCTGTGATTGAAATGCTATACTTTCATTGTAAGATGGTACTGAAGGAGGAGCAAGATTACTAGCAAAATTTTCAAGCCAATAAGACTGATCATTAGAAATTGTGTTTTCAGAGGCCAAAACTGAACATCGGAATTTTTTAATATTTTTCCAGACTAATGATGGATGAGTGGGCAGTGAGATGGGCAGATTTATCGTATCCATGACTTGATGCTGGATTTGGCGGAAGTCTTGGAGTAAATGTAGTTTTCCTGTAAGAATGAGATTGTGAGGGGACAACTGAAGGTAAAGTGGAATTTGAAATAGGATAGAGACTCTGATGATCATACGAAGGAAGGATTCTAGCAGCATCTGCATAAGATCTTAGGACTTGAGGGAAACGGGCAGATACTTCTAGATAGGAAATATTTTCCTGTGACATGGTAAGTTTGATAGATCTCTGCCTAGAGTGTTCAGGGCAGGAAGGATCTTTAGCCGTGTGAGATCCTGAACAAAATAGGCAAGTGGGAGACTGTCTTGTGCATGATATTCCTTCATGATTTTTAGCACACACAAAACAACGGGAAGATGACCTACACTGTGAAGTTACGTGTCCAAAACGACAACATTTGTGACATTGAATAAGAGGTAAAATGTAGGGCTCAACAAGCATTGAGGTGAAAAAACAATAAATGTTAGAAGGAAATTTCTGGCCGGAAAAAGTTAAAACAACTGTTTGAGAGGGAATCCACACAGTACTTTGGTTTTCATTAACTGACTTTCTATTAAATCGGCGAGCTTTAATAATTGAGCCAAAACCAGCTGGGACCTCGATTGATGATATGAGTTCCTCTAATGTCCACTCTACAGGGACCTGCCTCACTATTCCCATGCGTGTGACATTACAGGAAGGGATTACAGTATCATATTTAGCACCTGCAAGGGCTGGGTTCTCAATAAAACAATTTGCATCAGCTGCACTTTTAAACTCGACAGAAATTCTATTGCGTTCTATTCGCTTAACACCATCACTAACAACATTTAGAATATTATTATGGTAGAGAAAATGACCAAACTTTATCGGTTTTAAAACTACTCCAGTTGATAAATCATCTACTCTCTTACATGAACAATAAACGGCGCATTGTCGTTATTAGAATATTTATGTTTTTTTTCTATGTAGTCGGGATGGGTATAAGAGGTCTGAATAGATGGTACAGGTTGAGATGGATCTGTAATTAATCTTTTCTGAGGATGAGCTGAGTTATTGGTTACTTGCAATCTTTTACGCTTCGACTGATCAATTTCGATAGGCATATTATTATGTTTTTTGGTAACAGTATGGGAGTCACATGGAACCCCGTCGGGATCGGGAGGATCTTCCTCCATTTTATTTTAACTAATTACATATAAGACAGCACAATTACTAAATACTTACGGATTTATAACTACTAAAACCAATACCAATAGAAATAATAAACAAAAAAGTAAATTAACAGCTCTCAGAATAAGAAATAGCCAAAAACACAACGACACTTGTACACCTCACACCACTCTTCAAGCCGGAATCCTTCGTAAACCATATTTTACCTCTTCTACTAAGACTATATTTTGTGTACCGTTTTGTTTACTAATTGTTATTCTACCCGCAAATTCCGCACTTGGCTAATTGTGTAAAGTGACCTCCAGTTTTAGCTACGTTTTGCTATCGTCTTATTTAACACTTTATAAGTGAAATAACCTCTATTATCACCTCTATTAATGGAACCTTCTGTAAATGAGACAGATATTTATTTATACCTGGATATTTTAGACACTGGGTAAGTGGAATACCTCTTTAAGTGAGACGTTTGCTTGTCCCTTAAGGTCCCAGTTACCCAGGTTTAACTGTATAGGTAATTGTGAAATATGTATGTTTCATCGTACACTGACCATGTATTGTGTATGAATAATGTATCTAATTATGAGGGAGGCCTAATGTATCTAATTACGGTACATATGTAGTGAACTTTTTAGGCTGTAAAGATTACGGAAGATATCTACGTGCATATTTAAAATATAAAAATTGATATTTCTTTGTTCATTTTTTTTATATTAGAGGGGGCAAACGAGCATGTGGCTCACCTGATGGTAAGAGACTACCGCCGCCCATGAACAACCGCAATACCAGGGGAATTGCAGATGCATTGCCGGCCTTTTAGAAAGGTGTAAGCTCTTTTCTTGAAGGTTCCTAAGTCGTATCGGTCCGGAAAATTCGCTTATGGTAATTGATTCCACAAGGAAGTTGTGCGAGGGAGAAAACTTCTTCAAAATCGCACAGTGGTGGACCGCCAATCATTCAGATGGTATGGATGGTAACGCGAGTTTTGTCGCGATGTGCGATGGTGAAATTGAGCGGCTGGAATTAGTCCGAACAATTCCTCAGAGCACTCCCCGTGACAGATGCGACAAAATACGCAAAGAGATGCAACATCTCTACGCTGTGCCAGTGTATCGAGCCAAACCGAAAGAACTCGGTCGTCGACGATTCGAACCGCTCTGCGCTGGATGTGGTCTATTGGAAGGAGCTGGCACTGGGGTGCCCCGGCCCAGAGATGAGAACACTATTCCATGTGGGGCCGAACTTGCACTTTGTAAAGTTGCAAGCGATGTGCCGGCATGAAATACTGTCTCGCTCTGCTGAACACGCCAAGCTTTTTAGAGGCCAATTTGGCCTTCCCTTCCAAGTGACCACGAAACTGCACACTATTCGATATGTCGACGCCAAGGATTCCGATACTAGCTGAGGCAGCAAGGGGAGTGCCTTGAAACTGAGGAGATACGACAAAGGGGTTCTTTTTAGTGGTAAACGCGCAAACTTGTGTCTTCTGGGGATTGAACTGGACTAGATTTAGTCAGCCCCAATCCGAGACTTTGTTAAGCAAAGACTCGACTTCAGACACAAGTTTGTCCCGGTACTCAGCGACGTTTCCCCGAGAAATATTGGCACGGCCGGTTATAAGGCATCACCTGTGCTGTCGTCTGCATAGCAATAAATGCTACCAGTTAGCAACATATCATTGATATGCAGGAGAAACAGCGTTGGTGATAGCACGCAGCCTTGTGTAACACCAGCGTTGATAGGCTTGAAATCAGAGCATGCACCGTCTACTACGACCTTGGTGTTCCGATCAGCAAGGAAACTGGTGATCCATTTGCACAATTTCTCGGGAAGCCCATAGGAAAGAAGCTTCGAAAGAAGCGCTTTGTGCCAGACCCGATCGAAGCCCTCCGCTATGTCCAAACTAACGGCCAATGCCTCCCCCTTGGACTCTACTGCCTCCGCCCATCTATGAGTCAGATAGACTAGAAGATCACCAGCTGATCGACCTCGACGAAAACCGTACTGGCAGTCACTAATCAGCTGGTGATCCTCAAGGTACCTCATGAGCTGGCAGTTTATAATGGATTCCATTATTTTGGAGAACAAGGAGGTGATGGCAATAGGCCTGTAGTTGGACGGGTCTGAGCGGTCGCCTTTTTTAGGGATCGGGTGGACCAAAGCTGTCTTCCATGAATTCGGGACTACGCCTTGGGAGTAGGAGTACCGGAAAAGATATTGTTCATATTTTATAGGCTGCCATACCATTCATTAGATTGCGCTAAAACTTTGTTAACTTATTGCTTACACTTACACGAAGGTTATATGCGTAGTTGGACCCGATAGATGGCGTTGTTGTAGAATCCAGATATCGCCCGTGCGAAGCCGGGGCATATCGCTAGTTCTTTATAAAAATAAAGCATTGATAAAAATATACCAAGCATTTATTGTTTGACTGGGTAAAAATAATTTTCTTTACAGAAAGAATTATAGTAGTTACTGAAGTGTTTGGAAAATCTTTAGAAGAATGGAATACAAAATTTACATTTGATGAAATCACTAACATAGGACTACAGATAGCGAAGGGCATGGTGTTTTTACACAAGCAAGATATCATACATAGAACTTTGGCTGATGACAATATACTTGTAGATAGCTGTGGTAGGGTGAAATTGTTTAACTATGGAATGTATTACATGACTGGTGGTGGGTCTGATGTCCCATTTCCACTTGGGTTAGTATTCTGCACTTTTTTACAAAATAATTTATTAGTACTTAGTAAATTTACCATGTAGTGGCCATTGTAAGAATATCCACTACCCCATATCACTACTTAGCTGTGGTTGACTGGTAGAGAATGCCTAAAGGCATTAAGTTCGCCAGTTGTACAATTTATGTGCAATAAAGATTTATAAATAAATATCATCCCGTGGGTGTTGCATCTTTCTTACAATGACTAAGAATAAAAAATATACTGCAGTTGTAAACCCGCTTGCCAAGCGTGGCAACTATGGCAAATATCACCCTTAGAAGCAATCTATGTGGAGAGGCCTGTATTTAAAAGAACTTTGATATGTATACAAATATTTAATATTTTGGAAAATTTTAAAATTTGTAAGTAGAAGCGTAATAAATGAACCATAATGCCAAAAAAATAATTCTTTATGTTATATTGCAGTGCAATGATGGCATAAGAGAATCCATAACCCCATGTCATCCCCAGTGGTAAATAAAAACATGAATTTCAGTTAGTATTATGTAACAATGTATATTTAATAGAAATTATTCTATTCTATTCCATCGCATGGGTGTTGTGAGAGGCGACAGAGGGAATTTAAACAGTAGATGGGGAGCAGCATCTTTCTAAAAACAATTCAAAATAAAATAAACTGCAGCTGCCAACCTGCCAAGCAGTGCAACTATGGCAAATATACTGTAGTTAAGATAAGAATATAGTCTACACGTGGTAGAGCCATGCTGCAGCTATATTAATTGTATAGTTGTAGCACGAATGGGTCGGCACGACCGGGAAAGGACCACGCTCCCACAGAATACCAGCGTAAAATAGCGGCTTAATGCTTCTGTGTTTCGTATGGTGAGTGTAGAGAACCGGAGACCCTTTTTACTGGAAAAGAGGCATTCCATCTTAGTCCTCATGGCTGAGATTCGTAATATCGGGATTATATTGCCTCTTGACTTTCAAACTGGGACAAATGAGTAACTAGAAAAAAAAGAACAAAATACAAAAGGCATCATAAGAAATATTTATTTCTTATAAAAAAAAATTATAAATAAAATATTTCAAGAATAAGCATTTACAAGATAAAGCATTTACATTTATATTAGACATAACCTGAGGGCAGCAGGTTTACTCTACTACCGACTTCAAAAAGGAGGAGGTACTCAATTCGACTGAATGTACTATTTATGTGTGTTACCTCATAATTTTTTTCTGGGTGAACCGATTTTGATGATTCTTCTTTTATTTGAAAGCTCATGTGGTTCCATATAAATTTGATCAAGGTCTGACCAATAGTTTTTGAGTTATTCTTAATAATTTTAGCCTTCCTCGATACCTGAGTCCTGAAACAATACTGAATGGCGGTGGGCCTGCTGCAGACGTGTGGACATTCGGTATCATTTTGTTAGAACTGTGCATTGGTAAACTATGGCACAACTTAAAATCTGGACCGATTCTTCGTAGGATACTTACCCTTGTTCATGCAGCAAATCCAGCGGAACGGATAGCAAGAGAGCATGACTGCTTCGAAGCATATAAGGTAATCTAATTTATGAAAAAAAATTGTTTATATATAACAATCTGCACAGATAAAGAATGGGATTAGAAATGGCGGCTCATCAAACCCGTACTGTCAACATACACAGTACCAATAGCGCAAACCCGCTAATAACGATATAACATTATGTTATTCGGTTAATTGGAAATTTTGTATTATGGGAAAATATTTGAAAACAATTGTATACGAAAGTAGGTATATTAATTTTCAAATAACATTTATTACTAGCGACCCACTTTGGCTTGGTGGGATTTATTAATGTGGCATTATTTAGACTTAAGATAAAAGACCATTTATTTCATGTTATCAATATTTCTATTTTAAGAAAATATCTAAATTTTTCGGATAAAATTTAGTTTGAATCTTTTATAAGATTAGCTCGGACAGACAGACAAACGAAAATTTTAAAAATGGTTACTCATGACTCAAAAGTCTGTCTCAAAAAAAAGTCTGCGTCAAATGTCGCAAGGGCATGTAAATATTTTATACAATAAAATTGACCAACAAAATCAACCACAATTATGAAGAAAACTCTTAGAACGCGTCTAGGTCACAAATTAACATAACCGAATTGAATTTTATTTTTGTTGTTTATAGCATTTTATTATCATTGATTAGGACGTGCAAAAAACGCATATCGCAACGTATTTTTTTGTAGTCTCTACCAGCGAGTGTGAGTAACCGTAAAGGTACCGCCATTTCCAATCCCATTCTTTAATCGCACGGTTAGTACATTATATTTTAGGTACAGCTATTGAGACTCGTGCCGTGTAGTGGCGGTTAAGAATATCCACTACCCCATATCTTCCCGTGGGTGTCGTAAAAGGCGACAAAGGGAAACAGGCAGGAGATGGGTAGCAGCATCTTCCTGATAACAGCAAAAATACAATATAAAGACTATGGTTGCCAACCCGCTCGCCAAGCGTGGCAACTATGGCAAATACCCCCCAAATGGATAAAGTTACTAAGAGACGGCCCCCAGTCCCCGGCGGCCACGCTATTCCTGGCTACGGTGGCGACCATGGTAACGGCGGGGCAGGGGTGCTAAGAATCTCCGGTGGAGGTTGGGTTGCCACCTACGACGACTCGACCAACATACAACGCACGAGAAGATTGTGGAGCTGGAAGAAGAGATAGACAAGTTACGCTGGCATATTATAGGATTATCCGAAGTCCGAAGAGAGGGGGAGGACACGGTAACCCTCGAATCCGGCAACTTGCTCTCTTACTGGGAGGGCGACCATCTGTCCCAAGGAGGTGTCGGATTTATCGTCCACAAGTCTCTCGTTAACAACGTTGTAAAGATTGAGAGTGTGTCGACGAGGGTTGCGTACCTTATACTCAGAATCACCAAACGGTATTCGCTGAAGGTCATACAGGTTTACGCACCAACCTCGGCACACACCGATGAGGGGGTGGAGGAAATGTATGAGGATATCTCTAGAGCCATGCATTCTTTCAAAACCCAATATACGGTGTTAATGGGAGACTTCAATGCAAAACTAGGCACAAGAGAGAATAGTGAGCTGAAAGTAGGGAAATTTGGAATAGGGCAACGGAACCCAAGGAGCCAGCAGCTGGCCGACTTCATGGAGAAAGAGGGACTCTTTATGATGAACTCTTTGTTCGAGAAGCGGCCCCACAGGAAGTGGACCTGGTCGAGTCCCAACGGTTCAACAAAAAATGAGATTGACTTCATTATGACGACCAGACGACAACTGTTCAGTGATGTCTCAGTGATCGCGTGGGTGAAAACCGGCAGCGTACACCGAATGGTTAGAGGCACATTGAACCTAAACGTTAAGTTGGAAAGGTCTCATCTAATGAAGTCAACGCTCCGTCCCCCTCGTGCTCTAATCCAAAGTCCCGAAACCTTTCAGCTCGAGTTACAAAACCGTTTTCAGTGCCTAGAAGATTGCAATGAAGTGGACGATATGAATGACAAGCTCGTGGAAACTGTCGATGCGGTCGGAGCTAAGTTCTGCAAGACCCGCCGCAGAAGAACACAAAAACTCTCCGATCACACTCTTAATCTCATGACTGTTAGACGGAAGATGAAGCTACATTCTTCAACAGATTTGACAACATACAGGCAACTGAACAGATCTCCAAATGCATGCGGCGGGACTTACGCAACTTCAAATACAGCTCGTATTGAAGAAGCGATCGAGCGGAACGAAGGCTCCAAAGTCTGCCAGAGATCTGTCTGCCAGAAAGAGCCAACTGTCAAAGCTGAAGACAGAATGTGGCAGCATCGTTTCCCGGGCACCTGAGATTTTGAGTGAGATTGAGAGGTTCTATGGGCAGCTGTACACGTCATGGTTGGAGCCCCACGCGAGTGTGAGTAATGATCCAAGAGCGAGTCTTATCCGACATTATTCCGATGATATCCCGGACGTCAGTCTGAGCGAAATTAGAATGGCTCTTCAGCACCTTAAAAACGGCAAGGCCCCAGGCGGGGATGAAATTACAGCGAAGCTACTGAAAGCGGGTGGAAAACCGGTACTTGAAGTCGTTCAGAAGCTCTATAATTCCGTCCTCCATGGTGGCATTACACCGGAGGCGTGGAGCAGAAGTGCGGTGGTCTTGTTCTTCAAGAAAGGCGACAACGCTCTCTTGAAGAACTACAGATCGATTTCCCTTCTGAGCCGCGTCTACGTGCTGTTTTCGAGAGTCATTACGAATCGTCTCGCGCGCAGACTTGACGACTTCCAGCCTCCCGAACAAGCCGGTTTCCGAAAAGGCTTTAGCACCATAGACCACATACATACCCTTCGGCAAATTGTACAAAAGTCAGAGGAGGAGGAGTACAATTTGCCACTATGTCTGGCGTATGTGGACTATGAGAAAGCCTTTGATTCCGTCGAAATTTGGGCGGTGCTGCAGTCCCTTCAGCGGTGCCAAGTGGACTGTCGGTATATCGAAGTGCTGAAGTGTTTGTACAGTAGGGCTACGATGGCTATCCGAGTACAGAACCAGAGTACGAAACCTATCCAATTGCAGAGAGGTGTAAGACAGGGTGAGGTCATATCCCCGAAACTCTTCACCGCTGCATTGGAAGACGCTTTCAAGCTTCTGGACTGGAAAGGATACGGTATCAACATCAATGGCGAGTACATCACTCACCTTCGATTTGCCGACGATATAGTCCTTATGGCAGAATCGCTGGAGGACCTAAGTTCAAGACTATGCTCAATGACCTCAGTAGTGCTTCCCAACGGATAGGTCTTAAGATGAACATGGACAAAACAAAGATCATGTTTAATGTCCATGTCACACCTATGCCGGTAGTTGTTGGGAGCAATAAGCTCGAAGTTGTTGACGAGTATGTTTACCTGGGACAAATAGTCCGACTAGGTAAGTCCAACTTCGACCGAGAGGTCAATCGACGGATTCAACTCGGCTGGGCAGCGTTCGGGAAATTACGGCACATCTTCTCGTCAGGTATACCTCAAAACTTGAAAACGAGACTGTACAACCAGTGCGTGTTGCCAGTGATGACATACGGAACTGTGACGTGGTCCTTCACTGATGGCCGGATGAGGAAGCTCAAGGTCGCTCAGCGAGCTATGGAGAGGGCTATGCTCGGAGTTTCTCTGCGTGATAAACTCAGAAATGAGGATATCTGCAGTAGAACCAGAGTGACCGACATAGCCCAACGGATTAGTAAGCTGAAGTGGCAATGGGCCGGCCATATAGCTTGAAGAACCGACAACCGATGGGGAAGAAAGGTTCTCGAGTGGCAGCCTCGTACCGGCAGGCGAAGTGTTGGGCGTCCCCCCACTAGATGGAGTGACGACCTGGTAAGATACGCAGGAAGTCGATGGATGCAAGTGGCTCAGGACCGTGCTTTGTGGCATTCCTTGGGGGAGGCCTATGTTCAGCAGTGGACTTGTGAAGAGCTGTAATGATGATGATGATGATATTGAGACTCAACTCTGTGTTCTGTTTAAATAGAAATCAGAAGTAGTAGTGATACAACACAATTTTTCAATCTGGTTTATTTAGTCCTGCTTATTTACCACCTGCTTAGGAAGCTTAATTTGAGGCCCTTGGTAACCCTTTACTAAAAGGAATATTGTTTTACGTTGTTCTCTGTTCAAAAGTAGTTTATAAATGTTTGTATTTTTATGTGTCTGGATCTTTGTTCTAATCTGCCAACAAAGCGAAAAAGTGCCTATTTTAATTTCTGCGCGAGCACTTGGTTCTCTAAAAAATATTTCAAATGGAACATAAATAACTGTTTACTTACAATTTCTTTCTAGCTAGTACCAGATTATTTACGAAACGTAATAGAGAAATGTCTAAAGATTTACCCCAGCGAAAGAGCAACGTTTGAAGATTTAGTAGCAGAATTGTCACAAAATAATGTCAAGCAGTTGGACGATGTGAAGAAACCGCGTGGTCTCTTGGGATGTAAACTTCAGTACTTGTATTATTGGTGGCAGCTGACAGGCGGCGATATACAGGCCGAGTTGAAAAAGAACGGCCTTATTAAAAATAGTCCGCCTATTTTATCAATGCCTATGTAAGTATGATAAGGTGTCCATGATACTATTATGAAACTGCGCGGGCTTGTGTCGCAAGTATACGCGCAGATATAAAAACACTACTTACATTTTAAAGTACTTTAATTTATTATTGTTGAAGTATAATTATTAAATTTTGGTAGTTAAATTCTGATTCTAATAAAATCATTTATTACTTTCGGCGGCGCAAGAAAGTGATCAATTTCGATCAAATGATTAAAACAATATTAAATAAAAGTTGTTTATTTAATAAAAGTTCGAAACATGAATAGATCATAGTCCAATGCACAATTAAACCTATTGTCTTATTTCTTTAAAATTAAATGAATTTTGAATTAAGAGCCATGGTACTTTAAAGGCCAAGTGCTAACCGTAACTATGAAACAAAGGTATGTGTAAATAAGAAAAAAAGCCGTAAATATGAAAAAAAAAAGCTTATGAGAATGACCAGTCTAATCTAGGATATCTTAATTATTATGACAATGAAACCAATATGCTCATAAACAGTTATGTCATTCAATAAGTATGTATGTAAAAAAATCTGATGTCTATCCGATCGTATTGGATTTCTACCCCATTTGACTATAAGAGTGAGGGAATAGAAAGTGCACCTGTGCATTCAGGCACTACAATCTTATTTTGCGCAAATGCCTGGCCTTCGTAGAAATGGGCCGTCACCGATCTTTAATATAAGGTCTAAATACTAAGAGTCAGGGTGGAGTTCACCGTAATGAGTTAATAAAAATATGCATTGTTGATTTATTTCAGAGCAATTCTTTTAGATGGCTGTACCATAGGCGGTAAGAGCGGTGCCCTATTTGACCGCCGCATCGCTAAATATAGTTTAGACTTGTTAAAGGCACGTCTAAGCCACATCCCCCCGCAAGACTTTTATCCTTTAATGCACGAACGCAGAAAGGATTACGACGCCGTCGCATTGCCAAAGATAATAAGAGAAAGGGATACCGAATATCAGTTCTATAGATTGCTCTGGTTTCAAAGGCTTTTGCACGTAAGTCGTTTTTTTAGCATACATAATACTCCAAAAAGGTGGAGGTTTACAATTCGACTGCATGTTTTTTATATGTATGTTACGCGATATCTGCATAAATTGTGAATCAATTTGGGTGATTATTTTTGTATGAATACGTCATACTTCATGGTTGGGTACCACCATGTAAGAGAACAAATTCTACCCTTAAGGATGACAAAATAGACATTGAGATTGTGATATTTCCCTGTTCACTCAAAAGGTTCAAGAAAATGAACTTCTATTAAAAGTTAAAAAAAAAACTTAAATCACCCATTTCATTCTTACATTATGCACGTGCTAAAAGTTGTTCAAAATAGTAATCAAATGTTAAGTTTCTTTTTCATTATTATTAGGGATATCCATATACAACACAGTATATAAGAGCAGAAGCCGAAGTCGATATACCACCTTTAGTCCGAGGAGATGTCTGGGCAGCGTTGTTGGGCGTGAAAGGGGATATAGAAGAACAGTACGAGAGAATTGATAAGGAAACCCCCACGCCGACTGATAGACAGGTAATTCGGTCAATAGCCTTTTTATCGTTAACATTACATAGCTCCTCCCATACATTCCTTCTAACCGAAACCGTAAATTACCTTTATACATCAACTCCCTGCATGCTTCTCACTCTGGTTGTCACTCCATTTAGTGGGAGATCAACTAGATTGAGTGAGTGACTTGCCAGTAAGTAGGAGACTGCCACTCAAAAAACTTTCTTCTCCACCTGTATACAAATAGCAAAAAATTTTATTATACCATTAAAGTAAAAAAGCGACAGCAAAAGGAATTTTACATAAACAAGGAAACCATGAAATAATGATGTTGCATTGATTGATTGATGTTGATGATTTAACAGTTACCGCCAAATGTTTAATTACCTCATACATATTTGTATAAGGCGGTTATTAACATGCCTGCCGCAGCGGCAATCTAGGGTGTACAGCGATCGAGGCAATATTAGAATTATTGTCTTTACACAAATTTTATGCCTGCCGTTCAGTATAAGTGTACGTCCCACTGAACACACGCGTGGAGAATGGCGTCAGTTTTATCGAAATATCGGATTGTTATAGCATTGGGTCTTTTTTATATAGAATGACGGTGACAAACGAGCACAGACCACAGATGGTAAGTATATACTGTGGCCCATTGACGCCTACATTTATCCATAATACAACTAATTAATTATTACAACCATAATATAGCTGCAGCATGGCTCTACCACTTTTAAAAACGTTACCACGTTTAAATAACGTTCTTTCAGTGGCGCTACCGCAAAAAAAAGGAAAAAAGGAGGTACTGGATGAAGTAGCCGCTCTATGCACTGTATTGGTATCCGTTGTTTACTTGTACTCACACGTGTACTCCGCGCGAAAAATCCGTGTTAGCGCGTAAAGTCGCCAAGGAAGTGATTGATATTAATATGTATTTAATATATAATTAGTTTAAATATATCTAATACATAATATGTATCTAAATAGATAATTGAATAATCATAAAAACCCTGAACTTAGGTAACATTTACACTAATTAAAATTTTGTCATATCAAAATTCAGAGTAAAAAAAAAATAACTTCCCTGAACAAAACATTTCTACATAAATTTATTAGAATACTAGTGCACGCAGAGCATCTACGCGATATGACTGTCGTTTTCAGGTTCACACACTAGGTTCTATTATAAAAATTGTGAGAGGAAACTTAGATCGTAATGACGCACTTAAATATGGTAAATTGACATCCGAAAGTCAGATCAAGTTATTCTCTCAAATAAAATTACCTTTTCATTTAATTGACAATACTGTCACCGGTCTAATCCTGCTTTACCTTTAGGAACTGGAACTACCCTAATGATGCACCACTGAGCTGGAAACGTCGCTATTTTTAAACAGTTAAATATGTGATGGAGTGGTTCCACTAGTACTCGACACAGTCCCTAAGTAAAAACGGCGATATACCATCCGGGCCAGCTGACCGTTTGGGCTTGAGGCTAGCTAACGCTTTACTTACGTCTTGCAAACTCGATGCGTCGAAATGAACGCGCGCACCGCCTGTCGGACATCCAGTCATGGAGACACACTGCTATAGACCGATTCAAAGTATTCGGCAAAATGACTAGCACATTGATCATTACTTAAATGCTGATCCCCTTTTATAAGAGTCTGCCTATTTGCCGTGCCTCTCTTCGACCGCATGTATTGCCAGAATAATTTTGGATCTTTAGAAACTTTCACTGGATTTTATTTCTATGCTGTTGATGCGCAATTTCAATACCTTTTTTAGCAGTTGCTCTGTATTTATCAAACTCAATGTAGTCAGATCTTAGTTTCGTTTATTTTTACCCCCGACGCAAAAAGAGAAGTGTTATAAGTTCGACCGCTATGTGTTACTGTCTGTCTGTCGGTCTGTCTGTCGCACCGTAGTTCTAAAACGGGTGAACCGAATTGGGAGCGGTTTTTTTTTTGTTTGAAAGGTGACTTCATCGAGAGTGTTCTTAGCTGTGTTTCAAGAAAATCTGTTCAACTGTTTGAAGATCATCAGCTCTTTGTTTCGGGCGTTTTGAACTTTTTTAATTTTAGTTTATTTTGATACATGTACCTAAATCTATTATAAATTTGCTTTTTCCTGGGTGCACATTGGTCTAAAATAGGATTTAAATTACTATAATAATTATGTAACATTTCATCCAAATTGTAGTTACATCTACACTTACCCAACGTTGACGCGTTGATCACTTTGCCACAATTGTATAACATAGCGCACCGCTTGGTGTCAAGTTGCCGTCGTCGTTTGTCGTTTTCTCTCTTTTACCTAAGACATTGGATAATATTTCTATTACAAATTTGTCTTATGTTAAGTAAGCTGTTCACGGGCTGATAAGGCGAATTCTATTATGGAAGTCGTTCTTTTAGGTTACAGCTGATATGGTCTAATATAGTTTTAGTGGTTGATGTTCCACGTATAGAAAACGTCGCATTTATTTTCTACCGACTACAAAAAACAGACAGTAATTCGAATGTATGTTTTTTTAAGTGTGTTACCTTGAACTGTGAACCGATTTCGATGAGTCTTTTTATATTTGAAAGCTGGTGCTTCACATGTGGCCCCATATAATAAAAAATTTGATCAATGTCTGACCAATAGTTTTTAAGTTATTCTTAATAATTTATATTGAAGTCAATTGTACAAAATTTTTTTTTAGTATGGTAAATCTATTTTTATTTATTACTTTTTTGTAGTCTTCAAATTACCTATTTCTTTCGCCTATTTGCTGTGCTACCACTGTTGTGTATCCGTTCGAAGGGTGTAGAGAGCCAGTGTGATTACAGACTGAAGCATACTATCGTAGGCCTAAGGGCTAATAACGCATTATATAACCTTCTTTGTTTGAAGTTATTGAATTAGTAGTACTGATAGATTTGTCACAAACTTTGTTAAAAAAGTTTGTCAAATGTATGATTGACACCGTATTATTTCCTTATTTGAATATAACCTATGTGCAAAAAAATCTATAGCCAATTGGGCTTTGTTGACTAATTTATGTTATGACCAGATCGACGTGGACATCCCCCGATGCCATCAGTATTGTTGGTTGCTGTGCGGTCCATCCGGTCATCGCACTCTCAAGCGATTGCTGAAAGCCTGGCTTCTGACCAATCCACAATACGTTTACTGGCAGGGCTTGGACTCTTTGACCGCTCCCTTCTTGTATTTGAATTTCTGTAACGAAGGTAAGTGTTTAACAATTAATTTTCTTAATTTCATCACCATATACATCAGGCCCAAAATATTTCAACTGTGTATATATGCTTCCCCAAAGTTACAAATTACCAAGATGTTCATTGATAATTTATCCGGTTATTATCTATCAATATAATGTGTAATAAAACTATTTTAATAGTTATTATTCTTTTATTTTAAAAAACAAATAATATTCTTTGTTTGATACCATCAACAATAAAAAAAATAAAACAAACGAATCAGCATTATTTTTTCATAGCCAAAAAATTGATGCACAAAATAACCCGGATACACGCCATAGACTACGCACAATATCACACGCAGGTATAAACGTTACTATCATTGATCAGTGCCATAGATTAATGATAAGTCATCGCGAGCTCTGACTAGATACCGCCGGCGCTCATGTAAAATGCGGCAACAAATACTACGCTGAAATCGGCGTACCCGAGCCAGTCGCGTTACAGGCAACGTGTAAGGTGAACGTACCGAATGTTTTATTAAATTATGATCATAATCCGAAGTAAAATACCAGTTTACGTATTGAAACTGTGTAAAACTTATACTACAAGAAATAAGAAAGACACTAGAATCACATACTATCATTAAGTATCATACAATTTCGAAATTTTAACATAAAATAACACGGGCCATAAATAAGTCACAAAATATCAATGACGCTATTCAGTGTTGCCGCGAATGCAAAAATAAAGTTCCCCGTGGCTGAGATTTTTATATGTGAATTTATTGTTACTATATTTTATAATATAATATATTTAACTTATTATAATATAACCTAACTCTATATTATTTAATGTTTATTTCTGTAGTATTGCTTAAATGACATAATTGCCGTTTATTAGGGTTCCGTACCCAAAGAGTATCAACGGGACCCAAGTCTCCACTATCGTTCCGCCTGTCTGTCAGTAGGCTATATCTTAAGAACCGTAATATGTAGAATTTTCACAGAATGTGTATTTATATTGTAATAACAACTATATATTATAACAACATAAAATAAAAAAGAAAACAAGTAAAATGTTAAAGGACCCAAAAAAATCACGTTTCTTGTATGAAGACCATACGAGAAACAAGATTTTTTTTCTGTATTGATATATGTTTTGTTTACAGACTAAAAAAACGGCTGGCATTGATAATCAGAAAACCAGTGGTCTTTCATCATGATAACGCCAGATCACAAGATTAGTTATCTGTTTGAGACTTTCAATACACACTAACATTCCTAAAAATCCAGTATTTGCTTGAGTACTTAAAACTGGTTTAAAAGTTTTAGTCATTATTTTCTTTTGTTGCTTGTTTTCTTTAAAAGAAAGCTTTCTGGAGGTTTTAATATTTAAGTTTATAATTTTTTCTCCAATATAATTGGGATGACTAAATCCATATTCTTTCAAATATCTGATATTGAATATATCAAATGAAACTACTTGTCGCATTTTTTAAATTAAAATTCTAAGATTTTTACAGCAACGTTTATTTTTTATTATGTCACTACCTACAAGATGGTAACAAATTATCGAACAGAATGGACCTATATTATGAATGAATATATATTATAATTAAATGTAATAAAATTTAAAACAAAAACGTCTTGAATTTGTATACAATATACGAAGAAACTTTTTCCCCGGTCTTATATACTAACTAAAGGTGTAACAAAATAGTACTTAATAACTTAGGGAATGATTCTGCCCGTCAACATGAATATTTTTTATTATAGGATCATCTTCGAAATTTTCAATTTATACGTGATAGACCCATACTGCAACTATATTACTGGTATAGTTGTAGCAGGAATGGGTCAGCTCGACCGGGGAAAGACCACGCTCTCACAGAATACCAGTGTAAAATAGGAGCTTAACGCTGCTGTGTTTCCTATGGTGAGTGTAGAGAACCGGAGACCCTTTTTACTGGAAACGAGGCATTCCATCTTAGTCCTCAGGGGTTGCAACGCATCTGCATTTTGATTCTTAACCGAGGATAGATGTATATGTCTATGGGCCACAGCAACCACTTACCATTAGGTGGACTGAGTGCTCGTTTGTCACCCTGATCCTATAAAAAATATCTCAAATTCAGTTATTCCATTTCGTACAAACTTGCTCAAAATGTGTGGATGACCTGATTTTTCTTGCGATTTAGAAGATAGATCTATAGTAAAAGTTGTTCATATTGACGCGTAGAATAGAAAGCACTATTTTGATTACACCATATATATAACTATTTTTTTAAATAATTTGTGAATATTAGTTAGACAATGAAGAACGATTGACGAAAAAAGTGTATAAGGCGAGTGTGAATGAAAGTGTTGGAAGGGGTAGACCTAGGCGGACATTTCTAGACCAAATCAGGGACGTCTTGAAAAAAGGCCAAGTCAAGAGTACCCTAAACCGTAGAGCATGTATGAAGGGAATAATGAAAGTGGACGAAGCAAAACAAGTATGTAAGGATCGTAGCAAGTGGAAAGAACTGGTCTCTGCCTACCCCTACAGGAAAGAGGCGTGATTATATGTATGTATGTATGTATGTAAATAAAAAAATTAAACTGATTAAAAGGAGGCCTTATCATTTATATGTCATTTATTCAGAAGAAAAACCTATATATAATATACACAAATATAATGATACATTCGTTATTAATAAACTATTCATTTTTAAGTATTTCTGGAATACATTCATAACTATGAACTTAACTACTATGCCATAGCATAAAATAAACTTTCCCGTTAATCGGGTAATAGTTAAGCTGCTGGCATATACAATTTTTCACGCACACTAGCATCATGCAAATTGTCTTATACACACTACAATATCAAGATGCCGCAGTCGTGGAGCTGTTACTTGCAGGGAGCGCGGTATCTAGTCAGAGCGCGCGATGACTTATCATTAATCTATGGATCAGTGCATAATTATGATTATAATTATCAATCATATCAACGATTATCAAGATAATTATCCCCTGCAACCCTGGGATTTTGTTCCAAGGATATTGTACGAATTTTCAAGCATTCGACAGAGGGTTGAATTACTATATATTTAATATGCTGCCTCAGTAGCTCGATATAAGTGCGTATAATTTTATAGTAAACGAGCAACCAGAGTTTGATCACCATCAGCACCAATTAAATTCTTATTGCAATTTTAATATACTCTTTACTTCTGACAGACCTCAGTGCTCTGCACTTGGACATAATATAGGAAACTGTTTAAATGGACGGGGAGTGTTTTAACACCTTTAGGTGCGGAACGTTTAAAATATGTTCAGAATATTCAATAAAACACAGAGGCTGAATATTGTAATGTGAAAATATACAAACTGTGATATGCGAATATTAAATTATCCATATGTTACAGTTACAGTCAAAACTCATAATCGGTTAAAACCACTTTTGACTGAGAAAATCATGGAAAAATGATTTTGACCGATGCCCTTAATCAAAAACAGTTATGACTGATTTTATAGTCAAAAGTGGTTTTTACCAACGTCCTCGGTTATAAGTGGTTTGATAAATGTCTAGTTCAATTATTTTTTAATATTATATTTTAATTTATTTATGGTTAACGATTATATCATTATAATGTACGTACGTGGATTTAGGGTGGGCCAAGAGCCACCCCAATTGCACCTTAATCCACTGTCACCGATATTGCAAGATTGGTGTAATGTTAAGTACAAGTATCAGAGTATATAAAAAATATATATACCAGTCAAAAGTAGTTTTGACCAACATTCTTAGTTAAAACTACTTTTGTCTGATTTTTGCAGTCGTAAGTACTTTTGACCGGTTATGAGATTTGACTGTAACATATACAAATAAATAAAACTGAAGTGTCTGCTTGTAATTTCATAATAAAAGCGTTTTATTAAATACATATGAAAGTATGTATATACGGTATTTATAACAAATAGATAATTTTTAAATTTTTTGTCTGTTTGTCCTTCTGTTTGTTACGGCTAATCTCCGAAATGGCTGGACCGATTTTGACGAGACTTTCACTGGCAGATAGCAGATATAATAAGGAGTAACTAAGGCTACTTTTATTTTAGAAAAAGAAAAAAACGTACCATGCAAAAAAAATTAAAAACCGTGAAATGTAATCGTAATAAAGTCTAGTGCGCTAAGTCTACATTAAAATTACTTTATTAATTATTAACAAAGTAAGCAAGTACCTTCAAACAGAATAATAATACATCTTGAATATGACAGGTTAGTTCGGCTATCAGTCTCACTAGCAAGTGTAGCGAATGCTACAAATCCTACGCATTTTAAATACAGAAATAAGAAAGAGGATAAGTTCGTGGGTCCCTTCCGGCAAAAACAACAATCATGTCAAAAGCAGACGCAATAAGCGCTTGATGTCTATGTTGTTTCAGCTAGAGCGTTCGCTTGCTTATCGGCGTTCGTGCCCAAGTTCCTCCACAAGTTCTTCCTGAAAGACAACAGTGCGGTTATAAAGGAGTACCTGGCGAAGTTCTGGCAAATGGCGGCCTTCCATGAGCCCGAACTGGCGACACACCTGCACGATATAAACTTTGTCCCGGAACTGTTTGCTATCCCTTGGTTCCTCACGATGTTCTCACGTAAGTTACTTCAGTAATATTATCAATTGATAAGGCCCGGTTGTTTCGCGACTAAATTATGTTAGGGTTACAATAATTAAAATTAAGTTAAAATAAACCTAGCTAGCTAACAGCATAGCAAAGTGGCGAAGCAATCAGCTTTGTAGCGGTTCCTAACGGTTTCCGTTGAGCAATCAGTTTCAAAATAGGAGGTTCAGATGCCTGGGTGATCAGTAATCGATTGCTGAAAACAGAATTTGAAAATTCAAAACCGTTCTCGAGATAATCGTGGGACAGACAGACAGAGGGACAAACGGACAGACGGACAGACATCGTGAAATCAATAAGTGACTTCGCAAGCTTCGCCACTTAATAAAATAAGCGTTGGTTGACGCTTTCTCGTTCGTGACTTCGTAAAAATTTTTCTATAACCTCTGGTTAACCACTGGTTAACGTCATTTAATTCGAGTGTTTTTTCTAAACTCATTGATTGCGTAAATAATGGAAACTTTACTCTTCAACTCTGCTCTGTTCGATGATAGTTCATTTTTTTATATAAAATAAGGGTGACAAGCTGACAAGCAAGCACATAGACCACCTGATGGTAATGCCATGGTGGATGCTGCGACCCACAGACACCTAAATCTATCCTCGATTAAGAATCAAAATGCAGATACGTTGTAACCTCTGAGGACTAAAATGGAATGCCTCGTTACCAGTAAAAAGGGTGTCCGTTACTCTACACATCTACACTCAATGTGAATACTACAATCAAATGAAACAGCATTATTCTGCTGTTTCACTCTGGTATTCTGTGAGAGTGCGGTCCTACCACGGTCGAGCCGAAACACACAACTTTTTTTTCGACAACTTTTAACACATATTTCATGACACGCCGGGCGTGTCAAGCGCCACAAACACGCCTATTGTGCCATCCGCCATGTGTAAAATTAATGTTCTTTTTTATGTGTTTTTTACTTGTTTAGACCTAATTAAGTTTATTTGACATCAAACATAAGTTACAAATGGAAGGATACTTGTTTTTAGTGGGTGGTTTAAAGTGGGTGTTTTTTTACGCGTTTTCTTTGAAATTGAGAGTAAGTGACTTTTTTATGAAGAGATTACAAACCTTTTGTACTATTTTTTGTTTTTATAAAAAAATCATTTATATAAGTAGGTACAGCTAAATCACCCTGGAAACCTTGGTTTTTATTAAATTAAATTTTCACCTAATAATAACATATGTAAATATCAAACAACGAAGAACCTTAATTTGAAAAAAAAAGACATATCTTTCATTGATATTTACAAATGTTATTATTTAATGTTATACAAATGTAAAAGTAAAGTCGATCTGAAAACGTCTAATTAGTAAGAATAGCAAAACAAGTGTTTTCAAAAGGAAAAAAACGCCGGCGCTATACGGCGGCGGATTGACAAGACTATTTATCAGCGAACTTTTTTTATTCATGAACGGTTTCGAACTGTTTCAAGCAAAAATAAACCTTATACCACATCACAAGAGCACATGGTACTTCGTAGGTCTATTCGGCCATATGATAGTAATAAGACGGCAGTTCAACCATTTTAAGCAAAATTAAACAATAAGACAAACGCATTGTTTTTTTTTAACAGGAGACTTGTTTTCCAGAAATTTATTTACAACTTGAGTTTGTGAGCGATCGCAATGAGTGCTATTATTTGTTACTTATTAGACAATTTTTCCATAACATGATTTAAAACCCACAAAGTAAAAATAGTACCATGTACACGTTAAAAAAAGGTTGTCAACCCCTAAAAATTTCAAATTTTCAAAATATCCAGAATCGAAGCTGCATGGTTGAACTACTCGCAAAAGTAATCGATGGCACGCCTGGCGTGTCACCCGCACTGAATCGGTTAATATAGTTGCAGAATCGCTCTACACGTAAAGATGTTCGTAACATTTTAGTACCAATGTCAGGTTCCTGTATATTTCGTTTTACAGTACAAAAAGTCCTTGTAAAATTTATATTATATATAATAAAATAGATTGTAACAGAACGGAACGTTTCTTTACAAGAATTGGGCATTATGATGACGCGTCACATCCAGCTATTATATTGTAATCGTTAGTGTTCTTTGTATTATATGTTATTTATAAAAAAATGTTAGGGTTCTTTTCCAGAAACCAACAACGGAATAGTTTGAATTGATAATAAATAAATATAACAGCACACTAATATACAATGGCCTAATGTTTACGTGTACGGAATGCGAAACTGAAACCTCGTGAGTTCAAGTCCACTGTTCGACTACCGCCCTGAATCACTACAAGCACAAGCATTTTAAGTTTAAAAGAAGTGATAATACATCATAACTATTACTAACGGGATTAAAGCACTATCTTTATTGTTATGTTTACTCTTAAAAAATAAGTGAATTTTTATTTTTATAATATTATATAGATGGCGCCATTACTGATTTTAGTATAAATATTTTCTGGCATTAATTAAAACTAGTTTTACGGACTCTATCGCGTTTAATTTTACTTTTTAATTCTTGACATTTCGGGTGCTTTACAGCACCCATGATCACGGGAGGGACTGAGGTGTTTGATGGCCCGATGTCATTGTTAGTCTGGTTACTTTCATGGGTGCTATAAAGCACCCGAAACGTCGAGAGTAAAAAAGTTAAATTAAACGCGATAGAATCCATAAAATAAGTCTCAATTTATGTGTAGTGTTTGCGTAAATATTAGCAATCATTATTTTCTGGTATTGTTCGTTCACCATACCTTTGTTTTCTATAGACTCCAAAAAGAGGAGGTACTGAATTCAACTGTGTATATTTTTCTTTTTAGGGTTCCCTACTTCAAAAGGAAAAAAACGGAACCCTTATAGGATCACTTTTTTTCCGTCTGTCTGTCTGTCTGTCTGTCAAGACCCTTTTTCACAGGAACGCGTGGAGGTATCAAGCTGAAATTAATATTAAATACTCAAGTCTACTGTCACTTGGAGCTGTGAAAAAATCAAACTTCTAAGCCAACTCAATCAAAAGATACAGCCGTTTATGCCGTAAATTTTCGACATTTGCAAGGGAATCAAAACCTACAGGGTACTTCCCGTGAACTCAGAATCTTGAAATTTGGTACGAAGCAACCTTATAGTACAGATAAAGGAAAAATTGCGAAAAGCATAAATTTTGAGTTACATCATATAAGTAATAAAAATATTTTTAATAATTTTAAACTTATATAGGTATCTATGGATTTGTTCGGAATCCTCGGTGCGCGAGTCCGACTCGCACTTGGCCGGTTTTTTTATGTGTGTTACCTTATAACTCTTTTCTGGATGAACCGGTTTCGATGATTATTTTTTTACTTGAAAGCTGGTGTTTCTCATGTGGTCCCATATAAATTTGATCAAGGTCTGACCAATAGTTTTTGAGTTATTCTTAATATTTTGTATTGAAGTCGGTTGTACAAAATTTTTAATTTTAAATTATAAAATATGCTATAATAGACAAACTTGTTTTTAGATGTGTTCCCACTTCATAAAATTGTTCACTTATGGGACGCATTGCTTGTGGAGGGGCCATCTTTACCTCTGTTCATGGGTGTCGGGATTTTAAGGCAGTTAAGGGACACACTCCTTGATTCTGGCTTCAATGAATGCATCCTTCTCTTTTCGGATTTACCCGAAATCGATATTGGTGAATGTGTGAAGGTAATAATAAATATTAATTATTTTATTTCACTTGCCATAAACAGAAGAGTTCGGTTATTAATATTCCTGTAATAACTACGCCGATTTTTCTCAATTGCCACGCTTGGCAGGTGACAAACACAGTAGGTACCAGACGCGTCGCACCTTCAACGCTGCTGCCCGTGACTGGTTTATGTTTTTTTTATAGGATAAGGGCGACAAAGGAGCACACAGTCCACCTGATGGTAAGTGGTAGCTGCGGCCCACAGACATCTACATCTATCCTCGATTACTAAGCAAAATGCAGATGCGTTGTCACCCGTGAGGACTAAGATGGGATGCCTCGTTTCTAGTAAAAAGGGCCTCCGGTTCTCTACACTCACCATACGAAACACAGCAGCATTAAGCTGCTATTTTACGCTGGTATTCTGTGAGAGCATGATCCTTCGAGCCGACCAATTCGTGCTAAAACTATACTACTAATATATAGCTGCAGCGTGGCTCTACGTATAAAACCAACAGGTTGCCAACCGGCCTGACAATCGTGGCAACAATGTTAAATATCTCGCTAATGAGGCAATATATTTGAAAGCCTATGTTCAGCTGTGGACTTTCGTGGACTTCGTCATTAGCCCGTCAAAGTCTCAAGGTATGGGCGTCGTCCTCTGTAGAGATGATTTGCAATAATAGTACACAGCTGGCAGGCAGAATGAAGATCGCAATACCAGTCGTCTCGCACCTTTGACGTTGCTGCATGGTGCAGGTCTGTCCCGGCGTTTCCCATGGTCGCCTCTCTTACTACACGACTGTAGTGTTGTCACCACGTTGCGATGTATTTATTATACCGCCATATCGAAAACCATTAGATTTTCCCGGCGCTTCACATGGTCGCCTCTTACTATACCACCGGAGTGTTGCCACCACGTTGCGATGTACTTATTATACCTCCATGACGAAAACCATTAAATTTTCCCGGCGCTTCACATGGTCGCCTCTTACTATACCACCGGAGTGTTGCCACCACGTTGCGATGTATTTATTATACCTCCATGTCGAAAACCATTAGATTTTCCCGACGCTTCACATGGTCGCCTCTTACTACACGACAGGAGTGTTGCCACCACGTTGCGATGTATTTATTATACCTCCATATCGAAAACCATTAGATTTTCCCGGCGCTTCACATGGTCGCCTCTTACTACACGACCGGAGTGTTGCCACCACGTTGCGATGTGTTTATTTACGCCGTCTCTATACAGCAAAGGAATTGTCGTTCTCACCTTATTACTGAAGTTTGCAATGCAAAGGAATCCCATGTTTTTATAAATTAGACCTGCTGCCCCGCCCGTGACCTCCTTTGCGTGGACAAATGTTGATTCTAAAAATTCTATTACCATTAAAAAGCGACTCTATCCCTGAGCGAGTCTAGATTCTTGAGTCAAACGTTTTGGGAATGTTTTGCATTGTACGTACAGCTAAGAAATGGAATTTTAAGAAGATTGTAAAGCTGTAAATTGATAACAAAGAAATATTGCATACGATATAAGTAATTAGCATCTATATTTTTGACTTAAAAACTTTCTCGAGCGTTTTTATTTATTTCAATTAAACTAAACTGAATTCGTGAATAAGACATACAGATACAGATGTAAACGTACAGGCCTAGATTAATTAACGTGTACTGAATGTATTGAGACCAAACTTGTCTCATTTCTTAAAGGTTATCGCCCGAAATAATATTTAAAAAAGGAAATGTCCGCAATTTCTTCCAAAACTTGCAACTCTCTCTCTATCGCACGATACGGCGTTACGTAGCAGCGGTATGAATCAGATAGCATTTTTGAAAATATCTACTCGCGCCACGTATCGTGTATCGGTACTTAACAATCCTCTTATGTCAAGAATGAAAAGGTTACTGCTAGGCAAGCGTGCTCTATCGTCGAGCGCATCACCGCTTGTCAACAGGGGAGATATTGGTCACATCGCGGAATTTACCTTCCGTTTAATATTTTATAATCACGATAGCTTTTAAACGATTATAATAATTTCAAGAGGAATTTTCATCTACACAAACAACCTTCGTTATGAAAGTATTTACCTGGATAAAGGTTAATACCATGATACGAATGTAATCATGTTTCGTTCCTACCAGTGCATTCATTAAATTTTAGACCACAAAAGCTGTTATAGTCACTTAACTATAACAGTTGGGCATATTGTACATATTGATTAGTTCTTTAAACGTCTAGTACAATATTTTATTCTACCAGCAATCGTTTTCGCAGCGCACACCGAGTAATGACTTTTGTAGGCAATTTTTTTGCTTACAATATTGGAATTTCCTTATGGATCACAATTTAAAAAATAAATAAATATAGCCTTAATTTACTCACTGATAATACAATGTAGTTTTCATTAGGTGTAAGTGTAAGAATGTTTAAAATCTATTTCGTTCTTTTAGAGTTTATCTATTACAAACAAAAAAAAAAACAAAATGTTTTTCTTTATTATGTTAATATTATATGAGTTTTAAATTAATTGCATACCTCTTCCTTAATTTCTTTTTCATATTTTCTTAATTCTATCCTGAAGTTTTAAATTAAATATTATATTAAACTGATATGGCACTCTCGTTGTTTAACCGCCTACCTAACTACCCACCTACGCACTTGAACGGTTTTATGATGAAATTACTTCTTGTAAGTATAAAAATAAATACTATTACTAAATAAAATACTATTACTGTTCGAGTTCTAACAGTAGTGGAGTTTATGAAAAAATCAATTAGACCCAAAGTAATAAAACACATTACTTACAAAAATTCCAGGCGAACGAAGTCGCGGCCACAGTTAGATTTAAAATAGCGCATTACGATGATCTTCCAATGCTGTGTAATGCATAATGCTTAAGACAAATGCCATAATTCAGTGATGTTTTCAGGAATCAATTGAAATGTGCCGAAGCTCGCCGCGAAGCATAAGCTTTAGGAGGTTCACAAATGAACCCGCAACAAAAGACCCTATGGTAAGATACAATTCATATATAATAATCTTTAAAACCTACTTTATGATATGTAAAATAAATTATAAAAAAAATTAGAATAGGGACACTTTACTGTGCAGATCGTATCAAATACTTTCAAATGATCAATGTTAAGGTGTTCGTTATAATTTCAATCTAATGTATTCAGTAAAAGATAAGACCGACAAAGAAAGAAATACGGAGCATTGCGAATATTGATCTTGGCTTGGCAGTGATCTGTAGATTACGACACATTTTCTCGTCAGGTATACATTAAAACTTGAAAACGAGATTGTACAACCAGTGCGTGTTGCCAGTGACGACTTATGGATCTGAGACTTGATCCTTCATTGATGGCCGTATTAAGAAGCTCAAGGTCGCTCAGCGAGCTATGGAGAGGGCTATGCTCGGTGTTTCTCTGCGTGATAAACTTAAAAATGAGGATATCCGCAGTAGAACCAGAATAACCGACAAGCCCAATGGATTAGTAAGCTAATAACTCGAAAAATTGACAATCGATGGGGAAGAAAGGTTCTCGCGTGGCAGCTTCGTACCGGCGGACGTAGTGTAGGGCGTCCCCCCACTATATGGAGTGACGATCTGGTAAGATATGCAGGAAGTCGATGAATGCAGGTGGCTCAGGACCGTGCTTTGTGGCATTTCTTGGGGGAGGCCTATATTCAGCAGTATAGTTGTGAAAGGCTGTAATGATAATCAGGATGGTTTTTTTAATACTACTTTTCTTCACTTTTCACATATTGTTTCACACCCCCTCAAATTAAAATTCAATAAATATTTTTTTTTGTATGACCCACTGTAAGTAATAGGCCAATTTAGGAAAAGCCTATAAAATTTTATATTTATAATAGCTGTTCCCCGCGACTTCGCCCGCGTGTAATTTAGGGTTTTAATTTTGTTACGCATAACCTTAATTATTTTTCTAAAATATAAGTTACTCCTTATAACATCAGCTATCTACCAGTGAAAGTCCCGTCGAAATCGGTCCAGCCGTTTCGGAGATTAGCCGGAACAAACAGACAGACAGACAGACAGACCGACAGACAGACAAATAATTTAAAAATTGTGTTTTTGTTGTAGGTACCGTATATACTTTTATATGCAATTAGTAAAAAGTTGTTATTTTAACATTACAAACAGACACTTCAATTTTATTTATTTGTATAGATTTGTATAGATAAATTTTATGCGCTTTACAATATATATGTTATCTACGAAATTTTTAATATGTGGGTACACTAAAACGTATGGTGCTGTGTCGCATTAGGACAGACGGACAGAATGTGATTATAACAGTTCTTTGTACGATAACTGAACCTTAAAATGAACGGTTTAAAGTCAATAACTTGTTGCTTTTTCCCGAAAATCTTGCCCAGGTGTTGGCCACCCTGCATACATTTTTTTATAGGAAAAGGGTGACAAACAAGCACACAGTCCACTTGATGGTAAGCAGATGCTGTGGCCCATAGACATTTTCATCTATCCTCGATTAAGAATCAAATGCAGATACGTGGTCACCTCTGAGGACTAAGCTGGAATGCCTCATTTCCAGTAAAAAGGGTCTCTGGTTCTAGAGACAGTGTTCTAGTGTTTCGTATGGTGAGTGTCTACCATACGAAACACCAGCAGCATTAAGCTGCTATTTTGCACTGGTATTCTGTGAGAGAGTAGTCCTTCTCCGGTCGAGCCGACGCATTACGCACAGACACGAGAAATCTATGCTCAGAGTTTTCTTTGGGTAGCGATGAAACAGAAACAGAAAGAGAAACTTTTTTATTCAATATAGATTATAGTCACTCTTTTGTTTAATTACCAGTGGTTCTAAAAAAAACCTCTGTCCTGGGAAGAACCAACAAGAAACCCAGCGGGACTTTCTTTTTAAAAGTCGGTATCATCATATATATGATGCTTTATTTCATCATAAAGAGAATTCTAAAATTTTCCAATTTTCGTTAGTTGAATTGATATATAGAACATGTATCGATTAATGTAAGTTTAAGTATTATAATTTAAAATTTAAGTTAAACTTTTTGATAGGCATTTTGTACATGAACCATTTCAATTTCAACTTTCGAAAACAGTACCTCGATAGTGAACTTTACAGTCGCTTTTTATTTTTGTTGTTGATATGCCTATGTTATCAGTGACGCAAATCGATTAAACACGCCGTAAATTGATTCTGTGTCATTCGCTGCATTGCGCCCACTGCGCGTAAATTGAATCACGAGTGCGTGAAAATTATTAATTTATATTTACTTCAATGAACTGTGCCGTGCAGTAGCGGCTTAAAATAACCCACTACTCCATAACAACTCGTGGTTGTCGTAAGGTGACATAAGGGGAAATTAAATGGGATATGGCCAGCAACATCTGATATGTGTCTTATACGTGGTGAAGCCATGCTGCATCTATATTAATTGTATAGTTGTAGCACGAATGGGTCGGCTCAACCGGGGAAGGAACACGCTCTCACAGAACACCAGCATAAAATAGCAGCTTAATGTTGCATCTGCATTTTGATTCCCAAACGAGGATAGATATAGATGTCTATTGGCCGTAGCAACCACTTACCATCAGGTGGACTGTGTGCTCGCTTCTCACCCTTATCCCATAAAAAATCTATACAAATAAATAAAATTGAAGTGTCTGTTTGTAATGTCAAAATTACAGTTTTTTACTAAATGCATATGAAAGTAAATACGGTACTTATAACTAAAATACAATTTTTAAAATTTTTGTCTGTCTGTCTGTTCCGGCTAATCTCCGAAACGGCTGGACCGATTTGATGGGACTTTCACTGGCAGGTAGCTGATTTCATAAGGAGCAACTTAGGCTACTTTTATTTTAGAAAAAGAATTAGGGTTCCGCGCAAAAACATAAAAACCCTAACACGCGAGCGAAGTGGCGGGGAACAGCTTGTAATAAATAAAAATGCGGTGGACAATCCAACTGTGAAACGTGGCAACTATATCAAAACTCTGTGATGCACTACGAGACTTATACAGTCCGTTATATTAACGCTTAAAATAAAGTATTTTAGCTCATTATAATGGCTCTATTCAACCTGTAAGATAACTCTGACGCATATTTTCGTAAAACGCTATTAAGGAATTGTCTTAGCTCAAAAAAAAACTGTCATTATAAATATGATTTTGCTCTGTAATGAACTAAATAAAGACATTATTTTTCTAAAACCGTAATTTTCTGCAAATAATTTGCTCACTAAGAAAACGCCTATGAAGCAATGTATAGGTAAGGTCAAAGTTCGGCTACGGACTTTGGATAGGTTCTGATGACGAAATTAATAAATGAACTTTTATAACCTTTACATTACACACAAAATACGCGCATAGACCTGAAATTGCGGAAAATAGCCCGTCGTAAACTAACCTTTTCATTAAATGGTCTCCTATATCAACATTCAGATCCACTGCTGAACATGGACCCTTTGTAGAGATGATCTGCCGTAATCTCCACGTTTGGCAGGCGAATTGATGATCCAGATATCTCGCACCTTTGGCGCTGCTTCTCATTGCCGGTTTGGGCATTTCATTTCTTATATCGACTTTCGATGGGTGTATAAATCTCTTTTTTATTTCGTTAAGCATTTAACAATTTGCATAAGGTAGGGAGCGTCTTTTAAGCACCTTATGGCACTTGTGTCAGAGACTTCCGCTCTTCCATAGCCATACAAAACTTTCTAGAAACATAATGTTACATATTACACAAAAAAAAAATGTTTAAAAATTATTCACAATAAATGTGTGTGTGTGTGTGTGTGTGTGTGTGTGTGTGTGTGTGTGTGTGTGTGTGTGTGTGTGTGTGTGTGTGTGTGTGTGTGTGTGTGGGTGGTTTTTTTTGTGTGAAAATAATTTCTTTTTTTTTTCCTTATGTATGTTATCAGTTTTACAGACTTATTATTATCGATCGTATTATTGCTTAAATAATGGTTTTAAGTTGATTTTGATACGTTTAAAAGTGGTGTGAGATTGCATGTTATATGTCTGAATCTGAACTATTAGTGGAAAAGATGAAGGAAGTGGTTCGAAGGTGATATAATTCTCGAGTTTGTTTGTCGTCTAACGGCTTGAAATACTATTGTCATCGACTTTTTGTTTGCTTAAGCTGCCGTCAAAATCTCCCAAAAACTTCCAAATGTGACGCATCACCATATTATTGCAGAAAAAAATATTAACATATTTATATATTCGAAGTTTTCTTTTTGACTAAATGCTTTAATAAATGAGGTAAGTTGTGTAAAGTGACGGATCCGTAGCGCAGTGGCTTAACAATGAGTTGTTGCGCTGGGGGCTGCGCGTTCGAATTCCGCAAAAAAATTGCGGAATTCACGGAAGACCAATTATGGTCTACAAATAATTGTTCGGTTTCTGGATGTTTGTCCTCGTGCAATTTATGTTTGTAAACTGCCTCCACGACACAGGAGACAATCCTAGAGTGGGGGTAACGTTTTCAAAAAGAATAAAGAGAGAAGATAAGTTAATCTGATTGGTTATTGCTGAGATGACTCTTGCTTAGTCCTTATAATTCATCATCATCTTAATAATTCTGTCCCATCACCAACCTAATCTATGTGGATTAATTTCTTAGGCATAAATGTTATGTAAAAATGTTGTATTAGGTACCTAATTTCACAGAATAGTAATAATCAAATTATAGTGGTTGTTTAAGATTGTAGTGAATTATTAATAACTAAAGAACATTAGGCTCATAATGCTGTGTTTTTTTTTAAATTAGCTGTTTCATTTTCTAAAATAAAAGTAGTCTAAGTTACTCCTTATAACATCAGCTACCTGCCAGTGAAAGTCCCGTCAAAATCGGTCTAGCCGTTTAGAAGATTAGCCGGAACAAACAGACAGACAGACAAATTTTTAAAAATTGTTTTTGTTATAAGTACCGTTTATACTTTCATATGCATTTAGTAAAAAGCTGTTATTTTGACATTACAAACAGACACTTCAATTTTATTTATTTGTATAGATTAAGATCTAACATTAATTAATACGTACCTACTCTTTGTTTTAGTCATTTTTTAATTTGTACTAGAGACTCGGAAGTTTTATTATTACTAATATTGCAATGCAAGTCACTATAATTGTTCGTAATTAGGGCGATCACCTTCGTCGATTGCAATTTTGCAATTAAACAGTCAGATTTGTCGATGTAATTAGCCGTTAGGCGAAAAGTTACAGAAAACGAAAACTGAGCACTTTAAATGCACAATGATCAAAAAATATTCTAGAACAGTCCGCAGTGACACACATAGTTGCAATACTTGCTTTATCGAGTCCGACATGTGGCCTAGTGGTAAACACATTAATAAATCATGCCACTATCCTGAGTATTATCGCATTTTTATGCTTATTAGCGAAATATTTCTTTACTTTGTGTCTGTAAATAAATAGCTTCACCTTCAGTGTTTTCAAATATTTGAAACATACTTACTTCAAAAGGAAATAAATTTGCGTTTCATATGCATAATGTAACGGTCTACATAATACCGTGTTATTTACAGCCGTGGTAGCTCAGCTAAGCCATTGCTGTAAATTTAACAGTACGCAAGAAACCCGGGTTCGATCTCGCCGGCACCAATGTATTTGTTAATAGCAATTTGAATTGCTGATTTAGCACGTGTATACGTCGGCAAAGAAAAAAACATTGTAACGAAACCTGCATCTCAGGAATAAAATATTACGTTGTTAACTGAATTGCGCCACCAAGCATTGGAGTAACGCGACTGGGTTATCACTCCATGATGCTATTAGAAATGTGTGCCGTATGTTGCTGTGGGACGAATAAACCTGTAACTTTACTTTTATCTCTTATGTCGAAGGGTTGTGAGTTGATGTTGAGGAGTAGATTGTTTTATATTTAAATTGGAGAGTGAAAAAAACAGTTGCTTATAGTACGACATGGAATTTTAATGTGACATATAAATTAAATTACTCAGACGACTTTTCGTTGCAAGTACAAATTCAAGAAGGAATGAATGTTGCCAATAATTTAAAAACTTTATTTTTTGTTGCCAAGAATCGCAATTAAGTCTTTGAAACACTTTAATTACTCCAAATACAAATATCTGCACACAGTAATTTTAAATGAAATTAACAATTTCGGTGATACCGGTGGGAATACAACTCTAATGAACACGACTCAATCTCTGAGGATACCGGCCTATAAAAGATTAGCCTCATAATGCTGTTTTTTTTAAATTAGTTTTTAATGAGCTAACAGTCCATTTGATCGTAAGTGGCTACTGACCAATATCTGTGCCCACAGTCACCTGCAATTGCACCTCGATTTTAAACAATGCAACCCCTGAGTACTAAGATTACATACATTTCTCACAGCCTGTTGTATAATATAATTATGCTGGCTTTCATATCCTTTATATACACAACAGGTGGATGTACTGGTTCTTAGCGGCGAAAATAGGCAAGAAACCCTATCACCTAATAAGTAACTAATATAATGAGATGATAGCTGGAGACAATTACTAGATACGTAGAATTTAATTAAATCTTTAGTGGTGACATAGATCTTCATATCTGGATTTTTCATTACTGACTGATAATGTTTTTTTTTTATATAAAATATATTTATCAAACCAACTTACAATCCAACTAAAGGTAGAGTGAATGCCTGATGCTTTAAAATGTATTGATTAGCAATGGAAATGAATTTTATAGAGTCAGGGTGACAACGAACACACAGCCCACCAAATGGTAAGTAGATATTGTGGCTCATAGACATCTACATCTAACCTCGATTAAGAATCAAACGCTTGAGGACTAAGATGGATTGCCTCGTTTCCAGTTTCCGGTTTTCTACACTCACCATACAAAACACGCGAGAACTTGGTACCGACCCATTCTTGCTACAACCATAATATAGCTGTAGCATGGCTCTGCCACGTATAAAAATCGTCTTAATCTATTTGATTAGTTGTATCAATTAACCAAAAACTTTTTGTTCCTAGGATGTCGTCGAAATACCTTTAGAAGTGCTCTTGACGGAAATCAGTCCCCGCATCAGTCTCTCCGATTTCTTCTCGTTGATTTGTCAAGACAAGTGTTGTGTGGTGGACATTCGCTCGAATTTGCAGTTAGTATTAATGCACATATTCTTATGTTAGTCACTGACGCTAGTAACCTAGTAGGATTAGAGGCTTAAGTGGCAAATGGCAATATAGCTCGAAAAGACGACTACCCATGGGGAAGAAAGGTTCTCGAGTGGCAGACTCGTAACGGCAGGCGAAGTGTAGTGCGTCCCCCCGCTAGATGGAGTGACGACCTGGTAAGACATGCAGGAAGTCGATGGATGCAGTTGGTTCAGGACCGTGCTTTGTGGCATTCCTTAGGGCTTTAAAAATGTCATTATGTACATATTTAAATATTTTTGTTTCATTTACACCCGACATAAAGGTTATATTTGGTGAACTTAATAATGAAACAGAATGCCTTAAATATTGAGTACGCTGAAATATTTAAACCCTACTGCAGCGGATCCCAAAAGGAGGGTATTGTTGACAGTGTGTGACTCCGAAACTATACTCATAGACAAATTTAGAGGAACGCAAAAAAGGTTTAATTTCTCCTGTTATAATGATCGTGCATACTGGCCACAAACATTTGTGAATTTCATTTGTTTTTATATAATTATTGCGTAATATTGACTTATCTCATGCTGTGAAAATTTTGCCAACTTTTGAATTTTAGTTAAATTTTAGACTGCCTTGTTTATCGTGCTAAGTGTGAATTGTTATTGCAAATAAATTGAAAATGCCAGATCTAAACGTCACTCAAGTTGCTAGGGTCGTTGCTTTAATTGAAACTGGACACACCTACAAACATGTGGTCTAAACATTACCATAATCAAAACCTGCGGTACACAGAGTTGTCAAAAGTTACCGATAAACCTGACAGTATACGAAACTCACAGAACAGTGGCCAGAGATGACCGGTTCGTCATATTTGTCGTTCATCGTTCAGAGTCAGCCCAAACATACTTGCTAATGACCGCATTTCTCTATAAGTTCATAGTAGTCAACAGTATTCGGAACTTCAAGCCATGGTCGAAAACTGCCAGGAGGAAGCGGATTTGCCGTCGTGTCAGCACTTTTGATTTAGGCGCGGTTCCAATCGCCGTTTTGGGTATTATATTGCTTCTATGATCTGGCGAGATGGCCCTACCGCCACCGTTCGTAAGCCTTCCTAGCGTTTCCCACACATCTATAATTTTCTACAGACTTTAAAAAGGAGGAGGTACTCAATTCGACTGTATGTTTTTTTTTATGTGTGTTACCTCATAACTTTTTTGTGGGTGAACCGATTTCAATGATTATTTTTTTTATTTGAAAGCTGGTGATTGTCCTGTGGTATATAAATTTGATCAAGGTCTGACCAAAAGTTTTTGAGTTATTCTTTATAATATATATTGAAGTCAGTTGTACAAAATTTTTAATTTTAAATTATTATCAATTTGAACATGGAGCGTATTTTTAAAACAGATATGAAAAGAGCTGTATAGAGGGAAGCGTGAACGTACCGTACAGCGGAGTGCACCTGGGTCAGCACGATCTGAAGTCGTTGGGAGTGCAGCCTCACAAAGTAATCACAGATGCCGTGAAGCAGAAGAAGATCATCGTGATCGCGTCTGCGGAGGATGAGACTGCGCAGCTCGTAAGTATCTCATTCCCGTCGGAACTTTAAGTGATGTCAGTACTTTTAGTCGAGGATCATAAGACAGAAATCTATATCGAGAGCTAGGCACAGTGTTTATAAATCTGAAACGTATATTTTAGCATAAGAACAAGAGTAACTGACATAGCTTAATTAATTAGTGAACAAGGCAGGCCGTATAGCTCGAGGAACTAACAGCCGATTGAGAGAGGTTTCCGAATTACTAAATGGAGTGTAGTGCGGTTCGGTAGGTAGGAATAGAAAAGGTAAACAATGAAATACGATTGAATAAAAGTATTTTAACGGATTATATACATATAAAATATAAGACGTCCCGATATCATAGTTATACCGACTAACTTCAATTGTAGTATAAATCAATGGGTAGTGTTCGCGTAAATATAAGAAATCACTAAATGAAATACGACCTTTAATCGTAATACAACATATTTATACCAAATAATAGTAACGAGACACCATATTACCAGGCCTCTGTCACTCTTGCTACCTGCGTGGAATAATTACCTACAATCGCGAGCTGCCCCAGGGGTAGATCGCAGTCGGGGCTAGCGCGTTCTATACGATTGAATGTTAAAGTTTTTTTAACGCTGTTTACGTAAATATTTTTTTGTAAATTGTACTTGTTGAAATACTCGTCGAAATAGTTTTTGTTTAGCGTTTAGTATATTTAATTGTAGGATAAATTAGTTGAAAAAGTTTTAATGTAATTTAAGAATAATATATATGTATATTACCTATGTATTTGATAAATTATAATGGCAAAACGTCTTTCCTACTATAATTGTGGCGGGGATGGATGCTTAATGAGCAATTAAAAGGATTCAGATATATAATTTTTTGAGTTACCGAAGTATAATGAAATGTAAATTTATTTCATCGAAATACAGCATCATTGAGCTGCTATTTTACTCTGTTATTTGTGAGAACGTGGTCCCTTCCCGTTCGAGCCGACCCATTCGTGCCGCAACTATACCAGTAATATAGCTGCAGCATGGCTCTACCACGTGCAAAAATATCTTGCACCTCTTACGCTGCTCCCAGTCGCCGGTCTGGATGCTTATCATTTAGTGTATACGAGATTGTTTTAATAGTGACGGTGGAAATAGAATTCATTCAGCATTATATATAATATATGTAAAAATATGTGTAGATCTTAGTACAAAAATATGAAAACCTAGGTAGTCCTTTCCTGTCCGGAAGTTGGGTAAACAATCGTACCTATTTTTACTGTGTTCCGGTTTGAAGGGTGTAGGGAGCCAATATGAATATGAATACATGCTAAAGTGACAACGCAACCTTGGCATTTTTGATGAGATTGGTTATATTTTGTCGCGACGCTGCTGTAGCCATTTACCATAACATAAACTATAAACTTGTTTGTGTTTTATATAATATTTAATAAAAAAATCTAAACATGGTCACTTTGGGTTGATTTTGTAATCAGAGCCTCTATAAAGAGAAAGTACCCTTTTTTAACGTTGTACTTGGAATTTTAATAACTGAAAGTCTTGCATCGCATTGAACTTGTTTACGCGAAACCCTTTACTTTAATTTTACTTCTTTGTATAAGCTGCGGGCTTGGTTTTTTTTTTATGGATACTAGATACTTGCTCCGGTTTCGTACGCATTTGTTGTGTTGTCACCAATGTGGTATTATATTGTTGAGTTGATTTTGAAGATAAAGTATACAAAATGCACACATTTTGCATGGTAGTACCATGCTGCAGCTATATTATGGTTGTAGCACGAATGGGTCGGCTCGACCGGCGAGTGACCACACTCGCAAATACCAGTATTAGAGGATTTTCACTTTCAACTTGCCGCACTCAGTGCAACACAGAGCCATGAGGCTGAAGTTACTTGTTTGTCGGTCTTCTACGGATTTTACTTCGGAGAGTGTGCCCATGAGCTTTATAAGCTCATTCCGCCATCTCCATTGTCCTACCGGCAGGTTGCCATCCACACTTGGTTGATATTCCAAATATTCGCATTAAGCGCTATAAAGTTATCTTTCGTAAGTGGAATGCCCTGCCGGCGTCTGATTTTGCGAGCCGAGCCTCTTCAAGGGCGTGTTAACAGGCTTCTTCTGGGCACATTCGCTCCATCGTAGACCTCAACTTTGCCCTCGGTCCAGATGGAGGTCAATAGTAAGTCTAGTTTTAATTAAAAAAAAAAAAACTAAATGTTTGTTACCCTTACTTCTATAACAATAAAACCTCAAGTATAATTTAAGCGATGACGCATGAAAATCCATCAAAAATGCTCCGTGTGGTGGTGACGTTTGAGGAATCAATCTACATATTTTGCGCCGTGGGTGCCTTAGCAAAAGGCCTGCGTGGGAAGCGTTCGGCGGGGCGGGTAGTGTAGTGGCACGTTTGGAGTATATTTTGATCGGCCGCCAACCAGGACGCTGTAAAACGAGAGTGTTTGTTTTATTTGCTCACTGTACCGCCCCGATAGAAACTCTCCTTTGAGCTGCACACTTAGAATTTACTCGACTATGGATGACGATACGAGGGTGACACTAAAAGTTCTTAGAAAATCAAAAACTGAACAAACTAGCAAGTTATTAGTTTCATTATATCTTTTCAAAATAGTGTCCATTTACATCAATACATCGCTGGTCGCTGCATCCTATGGAACCACTGAGAAAAGCACTTTGCCCACTCGTCCTTAGGGGTCTCTTCGACGGCATTTTGCAACGCAGCCAATGATTTCTCGGCGTCCATAAACGTATTCCTCGAAGTTTTTCTTTTATTTTCGGAAATAAATAATAAGGTGCGAGGTCGGTGCTATAGGGGTGGGGAGGGGGGGGGGGGGGTGACGTCACCAAGTAGACGATTGTTTGCTTGGTGGTGTGCGACGAGGCGTTGTCGTGGTGAAGGAGGATCCTACTGATTGGTCGTTTCTCCCAAACTTTTTCCAAGATAAGTAGCAAACAATTGTTAGTGTACCACTCTGCAGTAACTGTTTTTCGATCCCCTAAAACAATTGTTGCGTAATGTCCTTCAGAAAAACGAGGCCACCATCTTTTTTCCCACGGTTCGACCTCTCTTCACTTTAGTTGGCAACTCCTCGGAAAGAAACATCCAGACAGCAGACTGTCTCTTAGTTTCATTTCACAACACCAATCAACACGACGGAGTTTTAGGGCCTCTGTCAAATTATGAGGTATCCACCGGGCACAAAGCTTCCTCACCGCTAAATGTTCATGGAGGATTTTGTGCACTTGACTCATACCGATGCCTAAGCTTGTCTGAATCTCCTGATAAGTTACTCTGTTGTCAGTTTCTATCATACGCCGCATAATACTGATGTTAACTTCAGTCGTCACCGTAGAAGGCCGTCCCTCATGCAGATCATCGGTGAGATTAGTGCTACCACGTTTAAACTCATTAAACCAGTTGTAAACAGTGGCACGAGGTGGTTCTTCATCATGAAATGCCAATCGAAGTCTATCATAACTTTCTTGTTGACTTAAATGACATCGAAAGTTATAAAAAAGGATTGTACGAAAATTTTCTCACGTTAAATTCATGCTGATGTGACACAGACAATTTTCAATTTGCCGCCAAATCGTAAACAAATGATAAATTAATGAAATACATACACAATAATATTGGCCTAGCATTTTGCAGCACCAGCCCATCCCATATATGGCAGCAATACTCCATGCACGAACGAACTTGCGCTTTATATAAAGTAAGCAGCTGTCCCGGCGTGAAGTATCACCGCACTTTTGCAAGGGCTCCCAGCTTCCTTGCAGCTGCTCTGGCCTTGGACTCAATGAACCGCTCGAAGTTCAGATTTGAGGACATCTCAAACCCTAACAACTGAAGGCGGTCGGTATATTCCAGTGATACATTTCGGAACGAAGAAGCCAAGGTGAGCTAGCTCCTTTTTGCAGTGAAGAGACACGCTTGTGTTTTGGAGGCGTTGAATTTCACAAGATTGGCATCGCCCCATTCGGAGACTACCTGTAGTGTGAGATTCACACGCTCTTCCATAGCTTCTCTTTCGGACTGGATTTGATCCCGACTGGCCCGAGGACTTGTTTGGTATCTCTCCACAACTGTGATATCGTCTGCATACCCATAGATACCGGGCATAAGAGTAGATGTATCAGAATTCTTCGCACGCTATTTTCAATCCTATATGATCCATGCACTTCCCAATACCTGAAATGCAAGTTTCAGTATTTGGGTTCTTCTCACGATCGTAACCTGAGATCCTCCGAGGGAACTACTTTATGTGTTTTTCCTTGCCGTACTAAATTTATGTCTCAGTCGTTCGCCGCTGAGGCCATAAGGCTATGGAATAAATTACCTCCCCATATCAGGAAACCGACTTCTGTTGCAGCCTTTAAAAGAATGATGAAATAAGTATATTATAAATTACTTAAGTTGTTTTGTATAATATGTTTGTATGTAAGTATGCTTAAAATGTATGTATTATGTATTGTTTAAAATTATGTATGTTTATGTATCATGTATAGAGTATATTATTTATGTTATTTGTAGTTATATATATTTATTTTTGTATTTACAAGTATAGTATGTATATGTTTATATTTACATTCACGTATATATTCTCAAGTTTTTATGGCACCTTCTTAAGTTTCTCTGCTTAGCTCGTGGTTGACTGGTAGAAAATGCCTAAAGGCATTAAGTCCGCCAATTGTACATCTTAAGTGCAATAAAGATTTTTAAATAAACAAAATAAATAAGCAGATCATTAATATGCAGCAGGAAGAGAGTTGCGGAGAGAACGGACCTTTGAGAAACACCGGCGCTAATCGCCATAGGATCGGATGAGCAGCCATCGACGACGACCCGGAGAGACCGTTCACTCAGAAAGTTCTTTACCCATTCAATCAGACCAGCGGATAAGCCGTACGCCGGAAGCTTACCCAAAAGGCTAATGTGCCAAACTCTGTCAAAGGCCTTCGAGACATCAGGAGGTCATTATGTTCTAGGTATGCCATTAAGCGGGCGTTCAATATACGCTCCATAATCTTGCAGAGTATAGAGGTAATTGAGATTGGCCGAAAATTGGCAGGATCGGCACGGCTGCCTTTTTTGGAGCAGGCTGCATATTGGCCAGTTTCCAGGATTTGTGCACTATTCCAATGCTAAATGAGAGGCGGAACCAGCGTGTCAGTACAGGAGACAACTCAGGTGCATAAGCCTTTAGAACTATAGCTGGTATACCATCTGGTCCACTAGCTTTATTCACGTCTAGACACCGCAAGATTTTGAGAACCTTATTTGAACGACCTCTTTTTACGATTTTACGAACCTCCGACATACAGGTCCCGCAGTTAGGTAATTTAGGTGGAACTCTGTTGCCACTGTCCAGACGTGAATTGTAGGCAAAGAGAGACGCGAACAGGTCCGCTTTCTCTTTAGCCGTATGCGCCAGTGTGTCATCCGGTTTTACCAGCGGAGGCAGAAGTTTGTCTCGACCGCTTTGGTGAGAGACCAAAAAGTTCTAGTGCCGGAGGGTCTGGCAGAGAGTTTGCCTCTCGGTTATTTGATTTTTTTCCCGCCAAAAAGTTATCCAAATTCTGGAAAAGCAGAAGTCTGTAGGCGCAAGGTCTGGTGAGTACGGCGGACGACGGAGAGCTTCTAACCACAGCTCTTGTAACTTGGGGACCGTCTGTTGTGCAATATGAGGTCGCGCGTTGTCGTGTAGGAGCAGCAGGGATAAGCGATTGACCAAAGTTGGTTGTAGGCGTGCGAGCATCTCCACCATTGTGTTCAGTTCTTCACAGTACACATCTGCAATAATGCTCATCCCGTTTGATAAGAAGTTGTGATGAATCACACCGGCACTAGCCCACCAAACAGAAACCATCACTTTTCTAGGAGTAAATTTTCGTTTACGGCATTGTTTGGGTGCTGAACCAGGATCGAACCAACTTGCTGAGCGCTTGCGATTGTCAAACCGAATCCATTTATCGTTGCAGATAACAATGCGGTTCAAAATTCGTTCGTTCGTATGCCAATTGAACAGTGCCAAGGCACGTCGATGCGTTCTTCGTGCTGGCGCTCATTGAGTTCGTGGGGCACCCATTTGTCAACCATTTCGACCAAAGTTTTCGGATGACCAGGGGGTTCATTCATGTTGAAATTTCCAGAACAGAAGCGTGAAAACCAATAACAGGTGGTGCGTTCGTTTGTAGTATTCGCTCCGTAAACGTCGTTGATTTTGCGTGCCTGTAATGCCGCGTTGCTGCCACGACGGTACTCAATCATATTCCATAATTGATCGAATTTTTAACGTATCCATGATGTCAAAAAAGATTCAAATGCCATGAAAACATAACGCTAATTAAGTTATAAACATGACGAATTTTGAAAAAAGAATTTAAATTTTTTTTTCAATATTAGTCTTTCGAAATTAGAATTCTTAACCAAACAAAAATTATTTTTATTTGTAATGGTCAGTACTGCAGAAGCGCAATTTCATAGGTAAAGACCTATTAGATAGCTATCTCATCGCCTATATAATCACAAACCCAATATCACATCAGTCGCCTTTTACTACATGCTAGACAAATAACGCAGTTGACTCATTATTAAAAGATAAAAAATACCAATTTGGAATTAAAATTATAATATATATATTTGACTGTGACTTTGAGGATATATCCTCAAACATGCAATTTGGAAGCAGCGCCGCGAAGTATTTCTTGCCCTAAAACCCTCTCAGGAACTAGCAATTAGGGATAGGATATTAATTTAAAAAAAAAAACACATTACAAAATTTGATCGATTTTGAATGACTAGACTGTAGGTGACTATATAGGTCAAATTTAATATATTTAGAATGGTGACGAGCACATCTTCGTGAATGATAATCGCTATCCTTAACGATATCAGGCTTGATTTCCCGTATTATAGGAGTGGGCAATGACGGACAGTGTACTTACTCCTTGAAATCTTTCTTTTTTTATAATTTTAAAAATAGTTGTATAATAATTCTTTTTGTTTCAGTTCAGCGATTATTTAGTGAAATGTAGTGTGCCGCGAGTGTGCATACTTCATGGGGGAATTTCTGCGTTGCACTCTCACGTTCCGTCGCTTTTCATCCTTCCGTTGAAGAAAATTGGCACTAAATAAACATTCCGATTGTTGTAATAATGTTGTATGTGTAACCGTTATGTAACACACATCACTGTGAAACTTTAATGTTATGTATCCGGCTCGAGGGATCATTTTAGAAGCATTTTATAATAAAGTGATATTACGTTCATTTGTATATAGAATTATTTACGACACCTTTGCGCCTGTGATCACTAGTAATTTAGTTATTTCGGGTAATGACGTATAACAAGCTTGAAGAAATTGCGGGAGATTAATTTTAAAAATTAAAAAACGTTACGTCTAATTCTGGCACTAAGCATTTCTTCTGTACCCTGAAGACGTAATTTACACGTGAGTGGAGGGACAACCAGACCCGGAACAATTATTTGTAAGAAATACTTACTTGCGGGAACCAAACCCGTGCCCCTCAACGTCGCAGCCAAACGCTCAACTATTGCGCTGCTGAATCTAGATGTATTCTGTGCTTGTTAGCCAATTGTTTGTCTATAAATAAAGTATATTTTCTTAAATCGTTAAAGCTAATAAAAAAATATAAATATGTTAAACCATGTTTACGCTTAAATATCGCATTCCTATACATTTTATACAACTTGAGACCTCAAGGGATGCTGTGTGTCCTTTAAGTATCTACATTTTTCGTCTGCTTGCTGACTATAAAGTTATTGTAACTGTATGAATTATGTACAAAGAAAACGCTTTTAGGAACTTTCTGTAAACCATTGGCATGTAAAATTTATGTAAATAGTATCGTTTTCATATAAATGTTTTTGCGTTATTACTATTTTATTCATATCCAATTCGAACTAAATAAAAATCGATAAAAAATCTATTAAATTAATGATTTATCGTTTTGGGGATTTTCTCTAAAGGATATTTGTTAACAAATACAATTTTAAACATAATGTTTAAAATTATACGTGGTAGAGCCATGCTGCAGCTATATTTCTGGTATAGTTGTAACGCGAATGGGTCAACTCGACCGGGGAAGGACCACGCTCTCACAGAACACCAGCGTAAAATAGCAGCTTAATGCTGCTGTGTTTCGTATGGTGAGTGTAGAAAACCGGAGACCCTTTTTACTGGAAACGAGGCATTCCATCTTAGTCCTCACGAGTGACAACGCATCTGCATTTTGATTCCTCATCGAGGATAAATGTAGATGTCTATGGGTCACAGCAACCACTTACCATCTGGTGGACTGTGTGCTCGTTTGTCACCCTTATCCTATAAAAAAAAAATGTGTAAAATAACCTCTCTGACCGATTACAAGTCCCTACTATTCCAATTCAAATGCGAGTAATGATCTTCTCTTATAATTGTAAATAAGGCATGTAAAAGCATTAGTGTTATTTATTATTTTTCAAGTAGCCACAAATTAATGCCCACATTTTAAAAGAAAAAGTTAAAATATTTTAGTAATACTCTAATTTCTTTGATTCATTACATTATACAAATAAATACCTAGAAACTGCTTTCTCTTTCCGTTTTTAAATTAAAGAAAAAAAATGTTGTACTTATGTTTTCGGCACGACTATTGAAAATATTATATCATCAAGTCCTCAATTTCGTTTGTTTATTGGTAATATTTACATAATAAAAACGTTACTTGCGAACCGGAATTTAGGTAAAATTATTTAACTCCGTACTGATTTTGTAGAGTTAATTTTTTAAGCGAACTTAATTATGTAACTGCTGTACGTAAGATCACAGACGTTAAGTAAATATTTTTATTTAAATCTGAACTAAAATTATGTAATAAACATGTTTGTAACTACCTGTATATTAATAATTATATTACAATATATTACTATAGTATACATTACTTTTGTTTTTTTATTGATTAAACATATTTATATATTTTTAAAGTTTATTTGTAAAACACAATGACCTTAGCTGGGCTTAGCGTGCCAATGTCTCAGCCCAGCACTTGATAACATTTCTTGTGAACATTTTTATCAAATATCTGGTCTACGAAATATTGCTTTTCGGGTTTCGGGTTTTTGATCTGTGGTAAGTGCTTACTTACCACAGATCAAAAAAGTTGCTTACGCTTCTTATTTGGTTCTTACCGCAAAGATACGTAACTCTAGACTAGATTTAGGAAAACGTGCAAATACTATAAAATTCATAAATTTTGTGTTGTTGAGTATGCGGTTAAAGAATGGGTTTGAAAATGGCGTCGCCTCTATTCACCTCTACCTCGCACACTATAGCTATCTATACTTACACCCGCCGGTAAAGTCTGTTAGATAACTTCAGTCCAATTTTTCATTAGAATCAATGATAGTAAAATGCTAATGATATAAAATTATTAAAAAAAACCAATCCGGTTTCGCTAATTTGTGAGCTACGACGCGTTCTGGGAGTTTTCTTCATAATTTTATGTTGATTTTTTTTTGTTAAATTAATACTTTAAAATATGCATTTGCTATTGACACACGAGTAACCATTTCTAAAATGTGCAATTAACCGAATAATATAACGATATATCGTTATTAGCCAGTTTTCGCTTTAACGGTACGGGCTCGATGAGCCGCCATTTTTAATCCCATTCTTTAGCCGTACCAACTGTTCTTATTGTTATTTAAAACGGACACTGAAGTGCTTAATGTTAATTAAAAACATAAATGCTTAATCGATTTCATTGAATTATTCTTAAACTTTCAACCGTCAAATTTTGTTACACCTATACCGCGCGGTCTTTCAGACCGATAATCAGAAATTTTTTATAAATTTATTCTATGAAAATTATTGTGAAATTGTTTTCTTAAAACTATAGAATATATTTAACAAATTTAATTCAAGTAATTGTGAATATACCTATCATTTATATTATATTGCTCAGGAGTCGTTCATTACAGACTATTATATAAATATATAATAGTATGTAATAAAAAACTAAATCATAACAAATACTTTTTCTTTTAATAAACAAAATTTTATCTAAAATTTTAAAATCATAATGAGGAACAATTAACCAGCAACAAGTCTTAAGCTGAAGTTTCACCATTGCAGTCAGACCACAGCATGTTTCACACAAAAGAATGTTATATATTAAGCATAGTTGAATTACGTCTTAGGACCTTTTTTGATGTGCATTATACAAAACGAACGATTTTATTGTTATTAGTTGTTAGTGATGACTCTGGATCATTTTATTAACATATCAGTTTTTAGCTAAGACGCGACAGCCCCTTTCCGAGGTACGAATTGATGAGATTATAGGAAAATTCGTCCAAGTTACTGCAATTATTTAGCAGGTAAATAATACAAATCAGAATTAATACTCCTATTTTACATTTTTAGCTACTTGTCTGTTAAGTAACGATATCCTTAGCTGTCTCCTTATTGGATTTGAGGCAGGAGATGTGTCCATCTCGACTGATCATCCTTTACGAAAGAATAATAACTGCTAGAAGTTTGACGACCTTTTCTTATATGTAGAAGAGGGGGCAAACGAGCATGCTCACTTGATGGTAAGTGACTACCATCGCCCATTAACAACTGCAACACCAGGGGAATTGCAGGTGAGTTGCCGACCCCACAAAGGAGTACCTAAGTCTTTTCTTGAAGGTCGCTAAGTCACAAAGAGATCGTACTAGGAAGAAAACTCTTAGTAAAACGTACAGCGATGGACCGCCATGCATCCAGGTGGTGTGGATGGTAGATATCGTGATTTTTGTCGCCAACCAAATTTCGAATGCAAAGGGATGCAACATCTCTTCGCAGCGCCAGTGAGTCGAATCTATCAGAAAGAACTCGGTTGTCGACGATTCCATTTGAGAATTACCTCTGCAGAATGACCCACTTAATATCTTATTATTCCTTGTATTTTTACGAAAATCCTCCGCGTTAATGACGTTTTCATCTTCATAGTTGGAATATGAATATTCTTCTTCCAACATCTTTACTTAGTTATTTGGGCGGTGAATAGGGAATATTATATTTAGGTATAAAGGGTGGATGCCCCTAATAGCAGTCATGCCCCTAATTCCAGCCTTTTCGCCATTTTACTTCGGAAATAAGATTTTTAGTAGTCTTAACTACAAATATTGTCACCAAAAAAATTCTTCGTAACTAGGGGAAAGTATATTTCAAAATATTACCTCACAGTTTTAAAACTAACAGTGTTAAATTAAAAATTAAAACACGTACGCTCGAAAAACGCTCATTTTCCTAATTTTTTTGACAAATTTTTAAACCCGGTGACATTATGCTTACTCTACATTATCTCATATATAGGCTTTTTGATTTGTATGAATATGACTATAGACATAGTAATACAGTTAATTTTGTTTAAATTTACAAGTTATTTATTTTCTTTTAGTGGAAATTAATGGGGCTGTAATTAGATATAGTAAATGTATGGAGTGCATAATGTCAGCCGTACCTAATAAGAAGTAGGCTAATTTCAGCCACGTAATATAAATGAGGGATGTCATAAACTGGAATAAATACCATTAATTAGATCATAAATTATTTTATAGTTAAGGGAGTTATGATCAATTCGTCTGTTTTAAAATTGTTTTTAGATTTTAAAGTTTAGCAAAAGATGTGCTGGCTTTTCTATCTCGCATACGGTGTATATTAAGAACACTTTATGTATTCAATTATTTTTTGAGAAAGAAGAAAAAACAAGCAATAAATATAGTATACATATACAAGCAAAAACTATAACTTAGTAATACTGATTATAAGTTAGAACATAAATGAAAAACTCATGACAAGGAAAATGGTTTAGGACCAGGCTTTGCGGCAGTCTATGGAGCAGAATGTTCAGTAGTGGACTTGTGTAAGGTTGTAATGACGATGATGATTTGAAAACTTGGATGATTGAATTATTAGAAATCGATGTACTACTTAATATTTAATCATAATTTGCTTTAATTTGAAAATTTTTAATTGAACTGCTTTAAACTAAAACAGAGTAGGTAAGATAAGTAGTAAAACATTAAAATAAAATAATGTTGTCATCTGCCTTTTTTTGCTTATCGTCGATTTTAAAATTGTTCTCG